TAGTCTGCTCCAGAGCGTACCATCCACACTAATGCTCCCGTTTCCATCTTCCTGTTGAATCTTTGCCAGGGGTGTGTGTGTGTGTGTGTGTGTGTGTGTGTGTGTGTGTGTGTGTTACAGTGCGCTTGCCCCAGACAAAGTACATGTTGCTAAAGCCACTCCTGAGCTATCTACAGAATATGTTGTCCCCACACCTGGGAACTGTTTACGAGGCCTGAACTGATCACCCTGCCCTAGCAAACCTGTCCAGTTGGGCAATGCAGTCAAATGGCCTGTGAGAGGGTGATACAGGCTGGCGGTCCAAGGGTCCCGTGAGAAAGAACATGACGGAAACGGGTTCTGGAACCTTCACAGGTAAAGACAAAGTGTTACACACACACACACACACACACACACACACTGGGGGGGGTTGTCCCTGATACCACAAGAAAGCAGATGTGTGTTGGGAAAGATGACACTGTTGGACTGAGACCCGGGAGTTGCCGAACTTTCTCAAATTCCACCACCCCCACCTTGAGTTGCTGAGATTATGAAATAATCCAGATTTTGAATTATCTCCGCTGAAGAACTGAGAAACCCGAAGTCCCAGCCCACCTCTGGTGGCTGTTAAAGACTACAGGTTGGACTTGCCACAATCCCTGAACCTTCGGGATCAGATCACGGGTCTTCCCCCCCCCCCATTAAAGCACAGCTTCGTGGATGTCAGCGTGGAGAGGAGTTACTTCACCTATTAGTTGGCAGTTGAAATGCCAGGTGGAAACAAGGTGTTGAAACACAGAGTAGATGCATCCCCACCCCGAGGCGTGACGAAACACTTGGAAGAAGCCTCCACAGGCAGTTGGCACATGTATTAGACAGCAGAGGTGGGTGGTGCTGGGCTGGGGACTCCCGGCTTAAAAGGACACAGTTGAACATGAGCACACCGCACCTGAAAGAGGGGCCCCCAGGGGTCAGCACATCTGCAGGGGGGGGACCTATCCAAAGGACCGTTTGTCACAGGGATCTGACCCCTAGCAGCCTCGCAGCATCTCAGCTTCGTGGCTGATCATTCTGATGTGTGGGGTGGAGAGTCTACAAATTTCCTAAAAGTTCGTAGCTGGAAGGGCAGGGAGAGAGATATGGCTACAGAAAGAGGTGGGGTGGGGGGTGAAGAAGACAAAAAGAGGGAAGGAAGAAGGAAGGGAGGAAGAAAGATGGTAGAGGAAGGGGCAGAAGACGAGAGAGAAGGATGGGAAGAGTAGGGAGAGGAGGAGCAGAGGGAAACACTGACTGTGTCAAAAATGCTGCTGTTCCGGAAGGCAGAGTTTCCGGAAGTCTGAAAGCAGCTTCCCTCTGGTGCACGGAATAGTGGTGTGTGTGTGTGTGTTTGTGTGCAAGTACGTGTGCATGTGCAGCTGTGTTAGGATGAGTTAGAATGAGACACAGATGCTCTAGCTTGCTGTGCTGTTGTCTGTGAGCATATGCATGTTGGCATGGCATGTGTGTGCACACGCATGATTTATACACACGTGGGTGGGGGGTTATCTGAAGATGTGTGCACCTATATGCATGTCTGCTTCTGTGCAGGACCTTACAGCAAGACTGGGAAGAGTCGCAATGGCAACACGACTTGCCGAGTGCCGGCTCTGTGGTCCTTAGTAAGTCACGTCTCTGGTTTTCCTGCGTGCACTTCATAGAACATTGCTTACCACACAAAAGTCGTTCAGTTAATATTTACTAAGTGCTATGACTTTAGGGCAATGTTATCTGTTTAAGGTTAAGGAGATGAAGAAAATGAGAATCACATGCAAAATGGCTCTCTTGACACATAACAGAAGCCCAGCAATTGTTGGAGTTGTTCCTTAAGGGCAGTACCACTGTGAACCTCAACCAATTCTTGAGCCAGTTTCCTGGGGTTTCGGAGTTCCCATTAAGTTATGTATTAACCCAGTAACTCATTCCTGCTCCCAGGCAAAACCTGACCATCACGCATTTGCAAAAATTAAAGGCAAGATTGAATTTTAACAGCTTGAAAATCTGAGGTCAGCTGTACTTTTGGCAGCTTGGGGGTGGGGGGAGAGCAGGAAGCTTGGCTAGTGACCTGAGGTCCTGACTTCCTGTCTGGGTGTCGAGCGTGTGGTTCACAATCACACACTGAAGGAATTGTTATCACCATGCAGTGGAAGTGGCCGGGGCCCAGAGAGGTTGAGTAAGCAATTCACAGCCACAACGCTCACCACAGGTTGGCAGAGCTAATTCCACACCCGGCAAGTGATTTGCAGAATCGAGAGGGCAAGAATCTCAGCACCTGGGCAGGCAGAAAAGAGGTCTCTACCTCCTCCTCGGCCCTGCAAGCATCTCAAGATCTCCGACTACTCAGCTGCAGTTGGGTATTGCCAGATGGAGCCGGGCCGTGTGGCAATCAGAAAACGAGTCAGGTGGCACTGCTTAGTGCCTCTGAGGTATTTCACAAACATTGGGGAACAAACACATTCGGTGTCGCAACCCTGGCCACCCGGAGCTGCCGCGTTGGCTGTTTTGGCTTTTTTTTTTTTTTTTTTTTTTTTTTTGAGGACGGCCCCTGTGGATAAGGAGTTTGAAAGCTAATAGCCCTGGTAAGCAGAGACGGTTAAGACCATCTTAGAGCTGGCAGAGCCCAGGGGGACACAGCCCTTTCTGACCCAATGCCCTCACGACGGAAGCCAGGGAGGACAACAGGAGTGTATCCCTGGGTTCCACTTCAAACCCTCCCCCCCCCCCCGTGAGTCACTCTGGCTCTTCCATGTGTCACCTTTTCCCACCGCATCTCTCATCATGAGCGACCCCAGGCAAGCCCGTTGCTCGCCACCTCCGTGTCCAGGAAACACTACCTCCTCCCCTCAGATGAGCCATCCATCTGTAATCCTCCAAACAAAAGCTAATGAAGCCTGCGTCTCCTCGGAATTTCACAACGCCCCCTGGGGTGATTAGGCTCCCTGGTACGAAGTGCTCCATAAACTCGAGGCCCAAGTGCAATCGCGTTCCTTTTATTTTCTTAATTAATCTCCCCAGCACCTGCCTGCACCAGAGCAGTTAAGCTCGAAATGCACCGCGGAGGTTCCCTCGCTACCCAATAAATTACTCCAAAGCCCGGTGCAAGGCCAAATCGAAACCCAAAATGAATCTCCCTTCAGACGCCAGGCCAGAAAGAACTGGTGTGTATTAAGGGTTACAAGCGCCTCGGGTTCTCTCTACCGCTCCGAAGTGGAGTCTCCCTGCGTAATTGCCTGCATGCGCGTAGGTTCCAAAGCCAAATTCCTGACCTGCAGCCAGCGCTCCCCCATTGAGCAGGGAAGCTGCCAGTTTTCTGACTCTTTCTCTCGTGCTCAGCTTTTCCCAGGATCCATTCCCACCTGTGGACCACGGTGGGGCGTGAGCGGCTCTCTGTGAAATTGCTAGATGGGGGCGCAATGCTTCCCGGGGGATGGAGAGCCTTTGCTCCGCACTTGCCCTTCTTGGGGTGTTCAAGTTCTCCTCCCTAGGCTGTGATGTGCCCCGTGGAGAAGCTCTCAGCCAAGAGGGCTTTGTCCCCTTCCCTGATGTGTGGGTACTCTCCCTGCCCCCACATGAACTCCAGAGAGGAGCCCACCTTCCTCTTGGTCCCAGCCTCGCCTCTCACGGGTGAGTGTCAGTCCCACGAGACTGGGGCCCCTCTTCAACAGTTGCTGCCTCGACATGACTGATACTAGCGTAATGGTGTTTCGCTAAAAAGAACCAAGCGTGCACACATCTGTAGCACACATCCTGAGACAGCAGCCATAGCCGCAGGAGAGCAACCGCGATCCCATCATCCCACGGGGCAAGTCTCCTATCTGCTTCGGACACCAGTGATCCTGTTTAATCCCAGCGACAGTGAGAGTGAGTGTTCTGCTGCCTGCTAAGGAAATGTGCTTCTGAGCTCTGAACTCTGAACTTCGGAAGGAGATACGACTCTGTGATACTGATCAAAGTCTTTCTCTGGGAGTCACTGTGAGGGGTGAGTCAAACTACAGAACCGCCTAAACTCCTTAGAGGGACCAGAGTCGCAAAGGGCATCCGCCAGCTTGGTGAAACTGGGTGCTCTGCTCACAGCTATCAGTGGTGAAACGGACCTAGATCTACCCTGTGTCTGGACCTGGAACAGTCCGGTGGCGGAAGCTCTGAGCTCCCTGGGCAGTCCAATCCAGTGTGGGAAGAGGAAGAAGCTACCGAAAAGGCGGAGAGAGTCTAAGAAGAAAGCTCACATAAAGAAGCTCGTTTCTATCTGAAGCAGCTTGGGAAGCCTCCCTGGAGGAGGAAGCATTTGCCTTTGAACTTTGAATGTGCCCAATAAGTACTTCAACCCACCAACTAAAGTTGGCACATGCTATAGGCCAGGCACCGTATAAACCGTTCTCATTAACATCGCCTCACTTAATTGTTGAATAACTCATGGGCAGATAGTGTTGCTATTTCCAGTATACAACATCATAACCAACCAGTAACTGCTGAAGTGAGGCCCAGTCTCACGGGCCTGAAGTCCACCTGTCTAGAGAGAGGTGAGGTTGGGACAAATAGAAAGGAGGGCTCCTCTCTGGTGCTCACCTGGGGACAGGGAGTGAACTGTTACTTTCCAGAGAGCAATTGAAAGGAGAAGCCGTTGAGGCGTTTGTTCCAAAGTTCCTCCAGCGTAAGAACAGTAAGAGGAGCAATAACTTATATTTTTGGTTGTGAGCCTAGCCTTTAATGGCTGAGCCATCTCTCTAGCCCAAGAGGAGCAATAACGAAATGATCCATTGTCCCAAAAATAATAGCCATCACTCGCTATGGGAAAGGTACATACTGGGCTCTTGCTAGCACTGGTTCAGCTGAACACCCCATCAAAGCCCTCTGAAACTTTAAGCTATGGCCCACATGTAAATAATGCATCAGGCATGGTTTTAGACCACGCCTCTCTACTTTTAAAACACACCCAATCTGTACAACTCTATAGGCATTGAGTATTGTTATCTCTCCTTGACAGAAAAGGCAACTGAGGCATAGAACAACTAAGTGTTTTTCATGAAGTGTTACGGCCGGTAGATAGAAGGACCGGGATATGAACTCAACGTGTAAGTTCATGCAACTTGCCACTACCTATTTTCCTGCATGAAGTAAACATTGCTGTCCACATAAGCTAGACACAGAGAAGGCAGTCCAGCTAGATTCTGTGAAGCATCCCATAATTCAGGTAGAGAAATCTGCATTTTGTCCAACCTCAGCTGTGGGGCAACAGCATCCCTAGTCCCGTCCCTAACTTGTGTTCTGTGCACCCCCCTCTACCGTCTGCCTTTGTGGCATCACCTGGAGAACAAGGCAGTAAAGGATAAAAAATGCCCTGGTCAAAGCCACAACTGTAGTGGTAGCACCCCGTGGTTTCCACTACCTGGGAGGTAAACCAACCTAGCTGCTATGCAAACCACAACCAGACCTCAGCAGCTATCCGCATGCAAATGAGGACACTTCCCAGCTCTGGCTGGCACCTTTGTGGTAGTCTCCCATGCAGTCACAGACATCCTCTCCCATCTCTGTGTGTCCATCGGTTCCTTACTCACGTGGGGAGGGGTGCCCAAACAAATGTGGCAAAAATAACCTTCTAGAACCCCGATCTGGTTCCAAGAGTTTGAGAAGTTCTCTCTCCCCATCTTAGAATCCTGCTGTGAGGGAGTTTGAACTACACTACAAAGACAGGAGGATGCCTTGGAAAAGCAGTCTTCAGAGAGACAGCCATCTTGGATATGCCCACCGGAGACAGCTCCTAGAGGAGGAGGGCAGGTAACTAAGTACAGCTACCCCACACACAGCAGAAAACTATTTGGAAAAATGCTAGAAGTTGTTTGGAACTGCTGTGTTTCAAGTGATTTGTTATATAGTCGAGTAAAACAAACAAACAAACAAACCCCACTTCCTCAACCCTATCTTTTTTCACTACAAAAGATTTCTCCGCTGCTGACTACTGTCAGTGTCCACTGGATCATAGCATGCCCACGCCTTCATGACTAATAGACAACTTCTGACCTAAGGCAAAGGGCAGTGCAGTGATTTCGTTCATTTAGCGTGAGTACCTCTCTGTGCCAGGAATATGTGGGAGCCAGGGATCGGTAGTTTAAAAGCACAGTCGATGCCCATAAGAAGCCATGTTTGGGAGGGAGGGAGGTTGGTCCAATCCTAGCACAGAGGATGAATCTGCTCATGGTTTTCAGTCAACATCTCCTGAGTACCTACTGTGTGTTAAGGACTGTGCTGTTCATCAGTGAGTTATAAGTAGACAGACAGAAGGACAGATGGACCAACAGATGGATGGATGGATGGATGGATGGATGGATGGATGGATGGATGGATGGATGGGTGGATGAATAGATGGATGGATGGACGGACAGACAGACAGACAGATATTGAAGACTTCCATTCTAATAGCAAAAGGTACATATGAATTAACAAGAGCATAGAGAAACTAAGTACTGATAAGGTCAAAACAACATGCTTTCTCTTTCATTCCTTTCTTCTATCTTTGTGGGTGTGCATGTATGCAGTATATGTGCGCATGATGACAGCCTTGAGTGTTACTCTTCACATACTATGTACATTTTAAAGTTACCTTTTATGTGCACACATGCACACTACATGTGATGGTCAAAGAAAACTAGCGTGAGTCTTTCCCCCCTACTATGGGGGTCTCAGGGTTTGAACTCAGTTCCTCATGCTCACTCCTTGTTTTTCCTTAAAGAATATTAATTTATTCCCTCCCAGTTTTCCACAATCCTGGGATCAAGGTCTGAGACGTAAGTGCTAGCAGGTTTGGTTTCTTCTGAGCCATCTCGGCATGACTTAGAAACAAACATCTTTTCCCTCTATGCCTCCCAGGGTCTTTTTTCTGTGTGCATGAACTCCCCAGTGTATTGAGGATAACCAGCATTATCCCTTCTTAAAGATGAAGCGACTAAGGTCCAGAGAGAGCCCAGACTTTAGTTCATCGTGTATCAGCTTGTGAATTTGAACAAGATCCCAAAAAATGTGCCCTTCACTTTTCTTCCAAAATTAGTTTGCTAACAATCCCACATCATGATTATTTTTTAAACAATTTAAGTGGGTCTGGAGAGATAGCTCAATAGTTGAGAACACTTACTCTTCTAGAGGACATGGGTTTGATTCCCAGCACCCACATGGAGGCTCACAAACACATGTAACTCCAGTTTCAGAGGATCTGATGCCCTCTTCTGGCCTCTGCCAACACCGGGCATGTACATGGTGTGAAGAGCAGGCAAAACACCACACACACACACACACACACACACACACACACACACACACACACATACATATATATCATACATGTATATATTTAAAGTGAGTTAACATTTGTAAATCATACAGAATAGTTTACAGTGCCTATTCCAAAGTTATGCTAGCCTCTGTTGGGTGAATTTTAGAAATAAAACAAAGTCAAATGGCATGATGAGCTGGAGTGCACAGAACCAGTGACAAACCAGGAGCTGAGTCCCAGCCACGCTATCTTTTTGTTCCTCCTCTACTCTGCTTCTCAGCAGATCTGTGCTTCCGTTTTCAGGGAGGAAGCCCGGTCGCCCCCTCAGCACGCACTCCATGGAGATATATTCGCTCATTCCCTCGAGTATCCAATGGGAAAGGATTCCTGAGGTTTCTTATAAACTCCATTAGCCCTACACCTGACATGGTTGCAACATTTTTTTTTAATTTAGAACCTGGAGGGGAAAAGTGAGTGAAAATATATTTGTCTTTTTCATTGCCTATAATGGCTATTCTCGGTTGTCAGCTTGACTACATCTGGAATTAAGTAAAACCCACATGGCTGGGCACACCTACGAGGCATTTTTCTCTTAAATTAAATAGCTTAAAGTAGGAAGACCCACTTGCAATCCAGATCTTTAAGACGGGACGTATCCATCTTTAACCCTGACCACACCTTCTGCTGGCAGCCTGTAGAAAGGACATAGAAGAAAGAAGCTTGCTCTAACCTTACCTGCTTGCTCTCACTCTCCCTGGCAAGTCCATTCCTTCACCGGGATTAGAGCCTACTTCTTTGAAACTCCCAGTATATACTAAAGACCACTGAGACATCCAGCCCCAGAGACTGAACAAGTACTGGATTCTTGGACCTTCTGTTGGTAGACTAGCTGGATCACACACAGCCTGTACACCATGCTAATAAATGTGTGTGTGTGTGTGTGTGTGTGTGTGTGTGTGTGTACAGAATCAGTATATATTTGTATATGTATTATGTATGTGTTCATATATGTATTTATACACATGAATATATATTCATTCTATAAGTTCTATTCCTCTGTAGAACACTGCCTAATACATTACCCCTCTAGATCTCCTTGGGTCACATGTGGGGTAAGACTTCAGAGACGACCCAGAAAGCATGCTCACTGTCCAGGAATTAAAGGGTTAACATCTTCCACACTGCGGTCAGACACTGCCTAGAATGGTGAATTCTTCAGACAGCCTACTTCCAATGGTCTGGCCAACCTAGTGCCCATTTCAGGAATGGTTGTCCGGTGACACTCAGTCCCTCCAAGGAAGATGTGTCTAGGCTCTGCAGCTGGCACTGTCCTCCCTTGAGTGGAAAGCAAGGGTGATGGGAAGACTGTAGCTCCCATTTGCAGCCTGGCTTCTGTCCACATCCCAACAATGACACTACTCGCTCCTCCAAGGAGCGCTTTCCAATCTCCGCTGAGATCTGTTGGATGAGCAACCCAGTTTCCATCACAGCCAAGCACAGACAGCTGTGAGTGGGGGTGTGGCCACAGCTCTCGTCCATCCCAGGATCTGGGAAGCCTGGGTGTGCACCAGTCAGAAACCCAGCCAAGCACAACAGGGCTGCTGCTGAGGTCTTGAGGAACCAAATGGAAAAGAATCCCAGTCAGGGCTACGAGCGCCAAGGTCATCAGAGACGCTGGGTCATCTACCCCTGCTCATGGAATTGTCCCAAAGGGAAAGATTTAACTGGTTTCAGGAACTAGTCAGAGCCTGGATTGGGCGTGTTGCCAGCGTATTACTAGAACAATCTCTGGGAAATGGGGAATGGAGCTCTTGCCAAGCAGACCGAAAATCTCTGCAGCGTGACATGCGGTGGCCCCTGGCACTCAGCCAGGCCCTCATTCCTTGGGACCTCCCTAACCACTGCCAGCACCAAGCAAGCTTGGAGTGCTTCTTATTCACCATATATGCAGAGTTCCTGCAGTGCAGAAGTTAGAGGCAGGGGTGAGGAGCCGCCTCTGCCCTCCAGGCCTTTGTCTGCAGCCCATGGATAATTACAATACAATAACACAGATGCTGCAATGTGCAAGGCTTGTTCCCAGAACGCAGACAGGAGAAGAACTGGCCCTGTGTGGATAACCCCGGAAGCATTCAGAGGACAAGAACATGGGTCTGGCCTTGAAGGGTGACTCAGTTCAGACAGCACTGATGAAGCACCTTCTGGCTTCTGAGTGAACAGGGACGGAGGGAAGGTGTGACGGTTCCAGAGGGCTCTTCCGACTGACCCTGCCCCTGCCGAGAGACAGGCCAAGGCGTCTCCCCTGAAGAGATCATGTGTTGTTTAATTCAGCATCCTGTCTTGGCAAACCAACCGAGACACGTTTGCAGAGGTCCTGGGGAATCTCCTAGAGCCCCAACAGTACCTGCCAGCTTAGCCCCAAGTAGAGAACCAGTGTCCCTGTCCTCACACCCTGAGGAGTCACCCTGGAAAGGAAACTACAGACAAACCAACGAGGTTCTCAACCGAGCGATCGCGTGTGAAAGTCCACATAAAGCTAAGGAGAGAATTAGGAATGAGGAATGGTTCTTGCCTCCTAGAAGGTGCTGGTGACACATTCATGGAACGCTCTCTATGTCAACAACTATTTCCACAAAGAAGCTGCCAGCCCCTGGAGAAGGGAGGCTCTGGGCTTCCTGTTAACTTCTTCCCAGGGCCTTCCATGATCCAGGATGAAGGATGAGTGCTTTTAATCCCAGCTCTTGAGAGGCAGAGGCAGGCGGATCTCCGTGAGTTCGAGACCAGCCAGGTCTACAGAGTGATTTCCCGGACAGGCTCCACAGAGAAACCCTGAATCAAAAACAGAAACAACAACACACACACACACACACACACACACACACACACACACACACACACACACACACCAGTTCTCCTGGGTGGCTTTGGAGGCACCTACAGGCTGAGCTCAGGGTACTGTCACACATAGCACTGTCCTAGAAGTCAGGAAAGAAGGAAGGAGGTAGGGATGGACAGAGGAAGGGCAAGTGAGACAGAGAGGAAAAATGGGAAGTAGAGAAAGACGGAGGAGGAAAGGGAAGAAGGGAGGGGAGTAGAAACGTGCTTTTCTTTGCACTGGCATAAAACCCCACTCGACAGATTTTGTTGACCCTATTTCACGAACAAAAACCTGAGGCTACGGGAACTGAAGGAAAACTCTTGTAAACAGGGATTTGATCCAAACTCCAAGGACCCAATCCTGTGCTTTTTCTAGATAGCCGGATAAAAATACCTTCCCGGTATCAAGCATGTGCTCTCTGCCAAGTGCTGGGAAGGTAGTGCTGCTCACTCAGCAGGGCAGACCCCACCCAGCTGCCTCTGCGATGCTGCGGGGCGGCGGGGGTTGGGGCGGGGGAGATAATCAGGGCCACCCCAGGGACTTGGCACCTCCGTGGCAGGATTTGGGAAACTATGGGAGGTCCACGTCTTGCGTTCAGGTGATCAGCAGGTACATGCAGTACTGGCAGAAACCCAC